GTTAATTATGGTCACCTAGATGGCAGTGGCTCTTGGTACCTTTTATTGATAAAAACGTCTGCATTACCCTTCTAGAGTACTCTGTATATAAATGTAGATTGATTTTGAGTAAAAATGGTTGAGATGGTATATGGTTTAGAATTCTAAAAAAGTTATACCGTGTCCCAGGGCATTCTTGACTGACTCATTTATAGTCTGCTCGCATGCATGGAACTCTGTAATACATGTTAAGAGACCGCTCTGGTTAGGAGACCAGAAAGCTTCCCTTTTCTGAAGACAGGTCAGACTGAACTGAGAGAATCCTCAGGAGGTGCCAAGAGTCTGTGAGCTTGAAAGATGTAAGAGCCGTGTGGTCTGAGGAGGATGTCAGTGCTGACCTCATCCCTGCAGTTACAACTAATGCCTCACTACTGTGTGCTGTCTGGAGGTGTGGGGAATTGCTTCTCTCTCTCTCTGTCTCGCTCTCTCTCTCTCAGTAGTACTAACTCTCAGCCCTGGCTGCACATTTAGAATCACCTTTGTATATCAGACCAACTAAATCCTATTTTGCAGAGGTATAACCCAGGCAACAATACTTTCCAAGCTCCCCAAGGTGTGTGTAGCCAAGGTGTGGATCAATGCAAATCTTGGATAATAAACTCCAAGATTTTTAGAGATAGGATATGTTCTGTAGCTACTCCCTTTAGTTGGACCTCACAGTTATAATGAATCAATGGGAATTCCTGGGTAAAACTCAAAGTTCATTCAGTGGAAATGTTAATTGAACCTTAATCTTGTATCAGATCTTGTCAATTGCTAGGAATACAAAAACAAATAAGATACGATTGATGAAGAATTGCAATCTAGTGGGGAATATAGTTATAATACAAGGCATATAAAGGATGGAGCTAGAGATGTGGCTAGGATATTACTGGGGTACATTGTAGAGGGAATAATTAACTCTGTCCAAAGGTTAGGATTTGGGGACTTGGAGAGCAATATCATGACGAAATGGGAAGCTGTCAGGGGTTCACAGAGGAATGATGAGCTGGAAGTTTACCAGGTAGAAAAGGGAGGGAGAAGGAACTTTGACAAAATAACATGCCAAAGATGTGGGGAAATGGAGGGAATTTGTCTTCAGGGATTTGTTAGAAGGCACAATGCCTGTGAAGAGTTTGCAGATTTTACAGTTAGGCATATAGGACAGATCTGATTGTGAAAAACATCAGTGAGAACTATGGATGTTAACAGTTACAGTGTCAAATATGTGGAAGATCTAGATCCCAAAGCCAAGCCGAAACCATTGCTGTATAGGTGGTTCTAGCTCAGTTACTCTGCAGTACAGTGGAGGACTTGCCCCGGCCAGTGTTTGAGGCTAGTGATCCTCACAGGAGCAACTGTCAAGTTTCTCTTCCATAGGGTGGCTCGTGGGTTCAAGCTTCAGTCCTTTGCTTAGTAGCCACCAGCTCCCCCTAACATCTGGAGTATTGTAAAGAGGGAAACTGTTCAGGTGTGAACTAGTTGGTAATGTTCGAGCTTTATTAACAGAGAGCACAGACATTGCTTAAAGGCATTTGAACACAAAATGTTTTCTTGCACTTCAGATTCAGAGTAAAATAAAAATAGTATTCTTTGAACTAAGGTAAAGTGAGCAGTAGCAGATGGGGTAGAGAGAGTCTGACCTCTGCCATCTCATAATGGGGAACGGTCCCCACCAACAACATTCACAGTATAAAACTGATCCCTATAAGGTCAGACTTTGCCCCCACCCCACTCCTCCCACTCCTGCACCTACTTCTCCTAATCACCTAGTCCAAAATTTGTTGCAGATGACCACACAGACTTTATAGAATCTCTCTCATTCTTCTCTTCTCTTCTCTTCTCTTCTCTTCTCTTCTCTTCTCTTCTCTTCTCTTCTCTTCTCTTCTCTTCTCTTCTCTTCTCTTCTCTTCCCTCTCTCT